TTTGGAGTGGAGCCTGTCACAGACCTGAGTGGAGCTAAGCCAGCACTGGAGGGAGTGAGTGATGCCTGTGGTTTGGGGTTCTGATTCTGCAGCATCCTATTGATGAAACAGCTCTTGACAGTGCTCCCTGGAGGCCAAGACTGTCCTTCTATTCTTGCAGGAGGCATCAGCAGCCTGAGCATCCAGAAGGGCCTAAAGGCCACTGTGAAGCTCACTCCAGCCCCCTGCAGAGGTCTGAGCCTGTGGCTGCTTCAGCAGCCTGCAGCTCCTGCAACAGGGTGAGTGGAGAACAGTGTCCCCTGCTAATGAGACACTTTCACTGAGGGCCTGATGCACAGATTTTGCCAATGGAGAGGAAGATGAGGATAACAACAGTTTGAAAAGCCTGGCTGTCAGGAAAAGCATTAGAATATTACAGTTCTAATGGAGGTGCCTGAGTGAGCAATTCCCAAACTGATGTTATTGGTTTAAAGAAGAGCTTTAAACATGGGGTTGAGAAAATCCTAATTGTTTGAAAAGTTGAATAGCTTGTTTTTCAGCATTGGGTGCTTTTTTTTTTTTGTATAGAAATTACCTCCAATTCCTGCAATTATCTACAAATATGGTTAATTTTAGAATACATTTAAGGACCTTCGATTGAATTTATTCTTTGATATTTTCAAATATATTTTGAAGCATTCACTTATCTTATGCAGTGAGCATTTTGCCTGCCGGTATCTCTGTGCAGCAGGTTTGTGCCTGGTGATCAAGGAGGGCTGAGAGGGCTTTCCATGCTCTGGGAATGGAGTTACGCAGTTGTCAGCTGCTACTGTGGGTGCTGAGACTCAAGCCTGGTCCTCTAGAAGAACAGCACTGCTCTTAACCACTTATCCATGCCTCCAGCCTCATATAAGCTTGAGGTTCCTTCTGATTACTACAGCATCCTTTAACATCCTTCCCTGTCACCCACCTCCTTCCTACAAGTCCCTTGCTCACATTCACATCTGTTTGTTTTATTTTTGTAGCCACTGCATTCATCAGAGCCACCTGTGTGACCGTGTGTTTGAAACTACTGACTGGGGGCTGGTGGGCTCCTCAGTGGGCACACACTGAAGACAATGAATGCCCCTCACCTAGAATTCCAGAATCAGGACTTTTGAGATGTTGGTCAAAGAGGAGGAGAATCTGTGTACCTGGTTAAGGTGACAAGGCGGCAGGACTTTGATCACAGATAAACAAATGTTTATGTAAAGGTTGATGTTGGTATTGGCATCATCAGGTGTGATTTCCTCAATTTAGTATAAAACACACAGTGAGGCTACAGGCTTGCTTAAATTCTGGGCACTCTTCAGAGTTTGGACAGAGTAACTGTAGAGTTATAATCATCAAAATAATACTATAATGTTAAGTTAAGAACTATACTAAGGGAGGGAATTGTAATAGTTTTCCTAAATAAAAGTCATTCCTAAAATCTGAGACAAGAGGTCACCCTGAGCAGTACCAAATTGACAGTAGTGGAGGGGAAATCATTGGTGACCTTGCTGATCTTTCACTGTAGAATGGGTAAAACGTTAAGAATCATGAAAGCTAGAGATGGTTGGGGACAATGTTTTTGAGATTATCTCACTCCTTCTGGACATAAAATAGGCCCTGGGAAAAAAACCATACCACAGCAGTTTTAGCACATACGTGTGCAAATTATCTAGCAGTCCACAGACAGAGTCTGGATTTTGTCACAAAACATGAAATCAATTTTAGAAGAGACAATGAAGCTGAGCCATGATGCAAAATGACTTATGTTGTTAGAAATCACTTTGGCACCTATGAGGGCTACAAACTCTGGGGTGTGGTAGTTGTGAAAAAGGATGGATGTTGGGGTTCTCCAAGGTGGTAGCCACCATTGGAATCTGCTCCTAAATGAAAGGGATAGCCTACAGAATTTCTTTAGGGGTGGGGTGGTCCATAAATGAGCAAAAATGATGGCTTAGTGATGATTCTGGGATTCTGACATGAGCAACTGGAGCAATATAGTCTCCATTGTTTTACAAAATTGGAGAAAGGAGTTGCTGCAGCTGCTGCTGCTGCGGTGTGTGTGTGTGTGTGTGTGTGTGTGTGTGTGTGTGTGTGTGCCTGTATTTTATATTTTATTTAGCTCCATTGAAAAGGTAAAGGCTGAAGTATGAAAAGATTGACTTTCAGTAGATAATGGTGAATAGTGAGTGTCAAAGGAGGATCAAACAGGGACAAGGCCCGTAAATGTGAGGAAAGAAAACAGATGAAAATGAACAAAAGGGTAGGAAAAGAGAGAATCTAGGGCTCATGATGGTAACCATGTTTGTCTTTAACTGAGAAATGTAATTGCGTTGCAGGACATGGTCACAGAAAGCTAGCCAGTCAGACTAGTTCTCCTCCCCTAGTTCTGCTTTCCTGCATGTGGTCTAATTCAGCCACCTTGTCATTCTAGTTTGTCCAGTCCTACTGGCATTCAGTGAGGATGCGCTTCCTAGCTATCGTGGTGTTTGGTTGCTGGCTGAGCAGCAAGCACCAGATGTGTCCTTTCTGTGATCCTGTTAGTCTTCAAGGAACATTTCTCAGAAAAATTAGTCATAGTTTAAGAATCAGCTTTCATCTGCTCTTCATTTGCATAGCTGAGTGTCACAGGCAGCCTGGACTGACTGGATCACAGCCTTTAGGACTGGTGCAGAACTCAGCTCTGCTGCCTTTTTACAGCTGTCCTCTGCGGCCTTTGAGGCAAACCCTCTGCAACTTGGTGAGAGTGACAGAATAGAGAATAGATGGTTCCCAAGGAAACCTCACCTTCAGCTGATGCTCATACGGGCTGTTGGAGTTGTTTGATAACCCTGGGGACAGTACTGGCCTTGAAAAGGAGCATGCCTCTACATTCCTCTGAAATGATGTATCACATTGGCTCTAGATGTGCCAATAATATTTTTTGGCCAAGCGAAGGGTGTTGGGTTATTTTGCTATTGTCTAATTGAAAAACAAACAAACAAACAACAAACAAGCAAACAAACACCCAACTAAGGAAATGAATCTGGCAAAGTCCCCACCAGAGCTGAAATAAAGGGGTCATTAAGGGGTAAGACCAGTGCTTTTCAGTAGTGACTCCTCCATGAGACCCTGAAAGAGACCTCCCCACACCACCAGAAGAGTCCAGCTTAGGTAAGTAAAGTTGCAGGTGTGTTCTGGGGAAATGGAGAAACGCACCATTGCCTCTCCCTGGGGAGTATATCACAAAGACTGTGATTTATGAGTAGGACTTGGTGGATGAAGATAGCCTGATGGACAAGAGCCCACTGCCATCCCATAAACTAAGACAAAAGTGCAGAAAAGGCTGAGGAGAGGTGGCTTCTGGGGATGGAGTACAGGCAAGAGCCTGGACATTCTATTCTGTGTTGCTCAAGAAGGAGGAATGATTTTTTTTCCTATCTGGTGAACTGACAACACGCTCACCTCTCTCTTTGCTGCAGAGAAACTGCCTCCATTTGCAAGAGGATTGGAATAGGGTCTCTAAACTCCTGACCACCACCAGTCCTAAAGTCCCAGAAGTCAATTCCTATAATTCATCCTTCTACTCCTAGGAAGACTGTAGGCAACGTGAGGATCAGTAGGTACAGATGGAGGCCAGATTAGGACATAGGGTCCCCTGAAACTGGAGTTGCGAATGGTTGTGAGCTTCCATGTGGGTGCTGGGTATTGAACTGGGGTTCTCTGCAAGAGAAGAAGGTGAAGGCAGAGACTGCAGATACCTGCACCAAGCTGGCTAGCCAGGCTAACAGATACACCTAGCTTCTAGGTTTTGTGATAGATCTGCCCTGGTAAATAAGGCTCCCTCTTATGGCATGGATCTCAAGCTAGAACAGTCATTGTTGGCTGTTTCGGTGCCACCTTTACTCCAGCACATCTTGCAGGCAGGACAAATTGTACGCAGAATGTTTTGTGGCTGGTTTGGTGTCCCAATCCTGATTACAGGAGACAGCATTTTCCATTATTAGGAGTCTTAGCTATGGTCACCTTCATTCCTGGGAATTTTCATTGCCCTAAGTTTCTGGCTTCTCCCAGGGATGCCATTCCAGTGGTCTCCCCCAGTACTCTCTCCCTCCAGCTTCTTTTTTCTTTTTTCATTGCATCTCAATTTGGACTAACTTATGGCAAGCACTTAGCAGCATATTTGAGATGCGTTATTTCTGGAGTTGACACTCTCTTCTTCATGTGTCGAAAATATTTATTACCAACGATGCACATCTGGAAAATCGATTTATTAGCTCATCAAGATGGCTCAGCATCTGCTGCCTCGCCTGACGACCTGAGTTGGGTCCATGAGACCCACACGATAGGAAACAACCAATTCCTGAAAGTTGTGACACATGGCATGAACACACATACACACAATACAGACAGATACATAATATATAAATGTAATACATTTCTAAACTCCAAGATAAAAAGACCGATCTGTTTTTGACAAGGTCCTTCCTTCTTCCCGATTTGTTCAAGCACTGAAGCTGGTTTGCTGTAGGGATGTTGCCCCTCGAAAGACCCTGAGTCCTCCAACCTCCCTCCTCCTAGCTCATGCACTTGCTGCCTGCAGCCCCAGATAGCCACTCTACTACCTGCTGTCTGGAATCTCCTGCCTAGTCCAGCTGTGGGAAATCCCTGGACCTCTGCAGTTGCCCCGAGCCAGGCTGGAACCCTTCGCTGAGTCCGGGAGAGGCTCCTCCGCTGCTTCCTGCCCAGTCCGCTAGGCACACTTCCTTTGAGTAGGCTCTAAGCCAAGATCCCTGGAGAGTAGAGGGCCACACCCACTCCATCAACTGGCAGTCCAGCTGCTCTGACTAAGTGGCCCTTTGGGGAGCACTCGCTCACATCCGGACCTGCACTCCGAGTGAGGCCAATAAACAGTTGCGTAATGGCTGCTGGTCGGTGAAAGGACCAATCCGCGATCTCTCCGCCCCTTAGACAAAGGCATCAGATGACCGTCAGGTTTGGTCTTTTCAAAAAGACGCGGGATTGCTGCGGTTGGGCGGGAAGGCGCAGCAGCGTGAAAAGAGCCGGTGAGTAAAAAGCTCCTTTCAGTTTGAATTCTTCGAGTCAGGGTGTTGCGTGGGGCAAATATTCACCAATACATTTCTTAAGTCTGTTTCGTTTTAGACTAAAAACACACACAGTAAGTGGCAAATACTGACTTCTTTCTCCGGCATGCCCAGCATATAGAGCGGAAGCCAAAGCACGTAGCCGACTACTAAATTAACGTGACTTGTTTGTCTGCTGTTTCCATCAGCATAAATGTACTAACCCAGAATGTCCTGCCAAGGACCAGAAAGAGCCAGCTAACTTTAATATTAATGAGAGTAGCTTCCTCAAAGGTCTAACTAATATGCAAGTTCATTGTCAGACTCTGTGTCCCTTATGGGCTTTGTGAGGGTTCCCTCAATAAGACTTAATGTTGGATGCTGGATTCAAGTGAGCCAGTGCTGGCTGTGAGCGAGGGAGGGTAGCAGCTCTAGGAGCAAACTGTGATACTCTTCAAGGCGGGTCCGATCTCAGATTTCTTAGGGACCTTGGGGAGACGCTAAGGCAGGAAAGTCCTTGGGGCACAGGCAGACGTGCTATCTATCCAGAGGACCCAGGAATCCCAGGTTGGTTTTCAGTGGCTATTTCTTGCCTCAGAATGCTGGCGTTAATGACATGGTGTTGTGGGGAAAGGCTTAGATCAGCTATGGCCTTTGCCTCTCGAAATCCTTTCTGTGAGAAAGGTAGGTAAGAGGAGCAGAATGTTCTTGTGGCTAGCCAGAAAGAAAGAGACCTTAAGAGAGGGAGACATGAAGGTGGGAGAGAGAGAAGGAGTGAGAGCAGGAGAGGGAGAGAGAGAGAGAGAGAGAGAGAGAGAGAGAGGAGATGAAAAACTGGGGAGAGGAAAAGGAGGGAAGAGAGAGAAGGAGGAAAGATGGAGAAAAAAAATCCAGGAACTGTCAGGGAGGCTGGAGATAGGCCCTTCCACAGGTCCTGCGTTGGTTTATTGCTTTACTGAAGAAAGAGCAAATCTAATTAGCTCAGCGGACTTTGCCTTAGCAGGGTTGCTCAAGGAAAACTACACGTAATTCACTTCAGTAAAATACGACCCAGCACGGATCCTGGAATTCATATGTATGGGGTAGATACAGAGTGGTTCATAATTGCTTAAATATATGCCAGTGAACCGTAAAATTCTTATTTCTTTCTGCTGGCTTTATTATTATTATTTTTTTATATGAATCACGGTATGAGTCATCAACAGACAAAGAACCTCAACTTGTATTTCTGGATAAACAACAAATTTCTGCCTGCAGATATCACGTAATGGCGTCCGGTTCCTCAAGTACTCACCCACTTTCGTTTTCTACAGTGGCTGTGAAGGAGTGTCCCCGTGGTTAAGCATTGGTGTCAAGAGCAGCATTAGCATTAGCGGCCATGGCCATTGTCTGAGGACTACATGTATTACATTCTCTCTCAGCTCCCAGTCCTTACATTCTGCTTAGTAAATATGGCTCAGCAAGCATGCCACCAAATCCTCTACCGCCCCACGACGGGTAAACACACACAGGAAGTACGCCTTCACCCCTTCACCAACAAATACGAATTTAACAGTCCAGTCCATTTCCCCCTGAGTGAACTGTTATCAGTAGGAACTGTTTTCTGTGTCTCTCTGGAACTAGAGCAAATGCCCTGTTCTTCACAGTGAAACCTCAGGGCGTTTGGTATACAAATACAAAGACAGTGTGTTTGGGCCAGGGATAGGACTTCTTGTTAAAGAGTTTTATTTGCCTTCACCCTCGGGTTGCTACCTACGTTTGTAGCTGTAATGGACTGTAACTGGCTGTTCCAGTTGTGCTTTGAAATCCCAGATATCACCCTCATTAGTGAGTGCAGTGCAGTTGGTGGCTGGTCCTAGGGTTGGAACTCCACAGTTGGGAGAGCCCCTAGTCCTCATTTTCATCACAGGCTTTTTCCGGGATGACTTCTAGGCTCAGGCGCTGCTTCTGGGCCTCAGAGTTTTCAGTGCCGGGTTTCGGCCACACGAAACAGCTGCATAATGGATTTGCTTCAGATTCTCCAAGGTCTCATTCTTAGCGTATTTCGAAAGATCCGCTTGTCGCTTTAAGACTGTTATATTCCAGGTAAAGCTCTCCACAGCCTTCTGCCGTTCCTGAAGGGCTAGTCCCTCCTCGGTGCCCACGCTGTGCAAGCGTTCATGCAGTTCCCTGGCTGCCTTCTGACAACGCACGATCTTGTCGTACACAGCGTCTGCATTTTCAGTTAGTGCCTTGAGGGATTGTATCATCTTGATGCTGCTGCTCCGGGGCGGGGCTGTCCCTGGGGACACCCCGCGGCAGGGTTCGGGGTCCTCGTGAGCGCCAAGCCTAGAGGTCGCCGGGCAGGGCTGGCCCGGGCTTCGTCCCCGGACAGACCGAGGCTGCAGTCTCCTGGAAACCCCGCCGCTGTCACAGCGCGCCCGCCAGGCCGAGGCGACCTCCCCTGCCGGCGCCTCCTTCCCGGCCCCGCCCCGGCTTTCAGGGCACCCTTGGCGCAGAGGGCCGAGCCCGGGGAGGTGGGCAGGGCCTCGCCTGCGGCGCCCCTGCCGGCCGCACTCCGCCATGGGCCCCCCACAACCCGGTATTACATTCTCTTTAATCTTCACAACAGCAGATGTTGACATCGATGTAAATAGAACATAGTTATGAGTGTCCCAGCTGCAAGCCCTTTGTAGGATATCTGCATTTGAATTCTGTGGGTTTGGATATAGCACCTCCCTTGTCAAAGGTATCCTTTCCCCCAGACAAAATCTATATAGATGCTGCTTTCCTTGTCAGTGGTGGAAGTTAGTGACTACAGATGATTTGTGTTAAGTGTTTGGTACAGTGCAGGACATGTGATGCTTTTCCTATTGGATGATTATGCTTTTTGGATAGAGCATCTGCTTGCAAGGTTACTGTCCTGGGATATGCTGATACTGCCATAACTTGGACCACTTTTCTTTTCTTTTTCTTCTTTTGGAGCTGAGGACTGAACCTGGCCTTGCACAAGCATTCTACCACTAAAGCAACGCTTCACTGAACTTAAACTGGTTTTGAAGTTTGTGATTCAGTCGGGCCATCTGTTTCATCTCTAAGCCACCATGAGCTACAAGAAGCGCAAATCACAGATCTTATTTAATGCAAGGAAAAATAAAAAGATCAATGACTATTTCTCTCAGGTATGTCTATAAATATTGCTTGTGTGATAACACAAGCTGTCTTAGCCAACATGGGTCCTAGGTCACGTAGGATCTACTACCAAGAAGCTACCTAATTGTTGACGGGGCCAATGACATACTCCAGGATTGTTCTCCTTCACATGATTTATTTTGGTGAATGGCAGCAAAGACAATGTGTTGTATTATAGCTTTCCACCATAGTAGTGTTTAATAAAAAAAATCCTATTTAAATCATGCCTGAAACATTAATAAAATAGATCAAATACATGTCAAAACAACCTGTGGGAAAAAATTAACACTATTTATTAGTGTTCAAATGTTCTGAGTATGATTGGTCTCTCCAGTCATAACAGCCTATATTTGTTTAATACTTCACAGGAATATTTAAATATATGGAGGTCTATTACATGGTTGAAAAAGGATGTTTCTCATCAAATGTATATTACAGAAATGTGTTTTGAAAGATTTTATGCCTGGCCAGAGTAGATTTATATTGCCTGGCATTTTTTGATTGAAAATAGATTCTTTTCTCATACAATATATCCTAATTATAGTTTTGCATCCCTCCACCCCTCCCAGTTTCTCCCTACCGCTTCTCCCCTCCAGATGCCCTCCCCTTCTGTTTCTCATTAGAAAAGATCAGACTTCTAAGAGACAACAACAAAACATAACAAAATATAAGGTGAAGCAAAACACTTTCATATCAAAGTTGGACACTGTAACCCAACAGGAGGAAGAGTCTCAAGAGCAGGCACAAAAGTCACAGACCCGCTTGTTTTTAGAGTCAAGAGTCCCATAAATATGCTAAGCTAATATCTACAATATATATGCAGAGGAACTGGTGTAATCCCATGTTGGCCCTGTGCTTGCTGCTGCAATCTTCATGAGCTCTTATGTACCTTGCTTAGTTAATTCAGAGGCTGATGGTTGCTGGCGTCCTCCATCCCTGTCGACTCTTACAATTTTTCCACCTCCTTCTCCTGAAGATTGCCTGAGCTCTGAGGAGAGGGATTTGATGGAGACCCACAATTTAGACTTTTTCTCTTCATAATGTCCAGCTGGAGATCTTTACACCTGTTCCTGTCTGCTGACCGAGGAAGATTCTATGTTGATGAGTGGATAAGCCACTGATCTATGAATATAGTAGAATATCATTTTTTCAACCAGCTGTGCTAGAATTACCCTAGGTCATTGGGCTGTCTAGTCTCTGGTTCTTGGTTACCTAAGCAGTGTTAGGTCTGGGTTTCTTCTGGTACAGTGGGCCTTAAGTTCTCTGTCACCATTGCCCTAGCATAATTTGCAAAAGGTAGACTGTAGGTCAAAGAATTTGTGCCTGGGTGGTGTCCACATTTCCCTTTCAGTTAGCCTACTGAGTACCTTCAACACCAAAGAGAATGGAATGCAGGAGTGAAGGCCCCATGGAGGCACCGGCTTGACTTCTCCATGTTCAATGAATTGTGTGGATGTTGTCTTCAGAAACAGGGCCCCCCACTGTCATTTTTCAGAGAGCAGCCCTTTGTCTTAGCATCAGCCTGGGTTTAGGGATTTCTCTGAGACCCCTTGGCCAACAACTCAGTTGAATTCAACTGAGACCCACCATATTTATTTTGATACTGGCTATACAAGATTGCAGTACCACCAGCAATGGAGGGGCATCCCCATTGCTCTACGTCTTCACCAGCATGAGCTGTCACTTGTGTCATTGATCTTAGCCATTCTGACAGGTGTAAGGTAGAATTTCAAAGTAATTTTGCTCTCCATTTCCCTAATAGCTAAGGATAGTGAACATTTGTTTAAATGTTTCTCTGCTATTTGAGATTTCTCTATTGAGAATTCTCTGTTTAGACCTGTACCCCATTTTTAAATTGGATTATTTGGTTTTTTGACATCTACTTTCTTGAGTTCTTTATATATTTTAGCTATTAGTTTTCTATCAGATGTGGAGTTAGTAAAAACTTTTCCCATTCTTTATGCTGCCACTTTGTATAATGAGTGGTGTCCTTTACCTTACAGAAGTTTCGAAGTTTAATGAGGTCTCATTTATTAATTTTTGATCTTAGTGTTGTCACTATTCAGTGTTCTGTTCAGGACATTGTCTCTTGTGCCAATGCACTCAAGGCTGTTCCCCACTTTCTCGACTATCAGATTTAGTGTATCTGGTTTTATGTTGAGGCCTCTGATCCACTTGAACTTGAGGTTTGTACAGTGTGATAAATATGGTATTTTTTCATTCTTCTACATGCAGACATCCAGTTAGAGCAGCACCATTTGATGAAGATGCTGTCTTTTTCCAGTGCGTATTTTTGATTTCTTTATAAAGAAAATCAGCTGTCCTTCTGTGTTTGGATTTATTTCTGGGTCTTCAATTCATTTCTGTTGATCAAAGTCTTTTTTCTATGACAATACCTTGCTGTTTTGTATTACTATAGCTATGTAGTACAACTTGAAATCAGGGATGGTGATACTTCTAGCAGTTCTTTTATTGTTCAGGATTGTTTCAACTCTTCTGATTTTTTTCCATATGAAACTGAGTGTTTTCCTTTCAAGGACTGTAAAGAATTGTGTTGGAATTTTGATGAGGATTGTCTTGAATCTGTAGATTGCTTTCAGTAGGACGGCCATTTTTACTATATTAATCTTACCGATCAATGAGAATGGGAGATCATTCCATCTTTTGACATTGTCTTCAATTTCTTTCTTCAATGCCTTAAAGTTTCTATTGTATGTCTTTTACTTGCTTCATTAGTTACCTCAAGATATTTTATATTATTTGAGACTGTTGTCAAAGATGCTTCCCTGGTTTCTTTCTTAGTCCATTTGCTATTTGTATATAGGAGGGATACTGTTTTGTTGTTGGTAGGTTTTTTGTTTGTTTGTTTGTTTAGTTAATCTTGTATCCAGCCGTTTCGCTGAAAGTATTCATCACCTGTAGAAGTTTCCTGGTTCAATTTTTAGGGTGACTTATGTATACTATCATATCATCCACAAATCACCATACTTTGACTTCTTTCTTTCCAATTTGTATCTACTTGATCTTCTTCAGTTGTCTTATTGCTCTAGCTAACATTTCAAGAACTATACTGAATAGATATGGAGAGAGTGGAAAGCCTTTTCTTGCTCCTAATGTTAGTAGAATTGCTTGAATTGCTTTGAATTTGATGTTGGCTATAGGCTTACTGTAAATTGCTTTTATTATATTTAGGTATATCCATTGTATCTCCAATATCTTTAGGATTTTTATCATGAAGGGGTGATGGATTTTGTCAAAGGCCTTTTCTGTATCCAATGAGATGCTCATGTGCCTCTTTTAGTTTGTTTATATGATGGATTACATTTGACTGATTTTTGTGTGTTGACATATCTCTGCATCTCCGGGATGAACCTACTTGAGCACGGTAGATGATTTTTTTAATGTGTTCTTGTATTTAGTTTGCAAGTATTTTATTGGGTATTTTCGCATCTATATTTATAAGGGAAATCAGTTTGTAATTTTCTTTGTTGAATCTTTATGTAGTTTGGATATTAGGGTAACCATGGCCTCATAAAATGAGTTGGTCATTTTTCTTTCATTGCTTGTATTTTGTAGAATAATTTGAGGAGTATTGGTGTAATCTCTTCTTTAACATTCTGGTAGAATTCTACACTAAAATCAATCTGACCCTGAGGAGTTTTGGGGGGTGGTGCAGGGAGACTTTTAACGACTGGTTCTATATCTCTATGGGTTATAGGTCTATTTGAATTGTTTATTTGATCCTGATTTAACTTTGGCAAAGTTGAAAAAGTTATCAATTTCTTTTAAATTTTCCAATTTGGTGGAAAGTATGTCCTTATGATTCTTTAGATTTCTTCAGTGTCTGTTGCTATGTCCTCCTTTTATTTATGATTTTGTTAATTTGGATACTCTCTTTTCATTTTTATTTAGTTTTTTTTGAAAAATTTTCATTATTATTATTAATTACAATTTATTCACTTTGTATCCTGGCTGTAGCCCCCTCCCTCATCTCCTCTCGGTCCCATCCTCCTTCCTTCTTCCTCCCTATGTCCTCCCCTAGTCCACTGATAGGGGAAGTCCTCCTTCCCTTCTATCTAACCCTAGCCTATCAGGTCTCATCAGGACTGGCTGCATCCTCTTTCTCTGTGACCGACTCACCAGGAGGAAGTGATCCAAGAGCAGACTCTGAAAAGTCTTGCGCCTTTTCTCTTTCCATCTTTTAGTTAGTTTGGATAATGGTTTGTAACTCTTGTTGGTTTTCTCAACGAGCCAACTCTTTCTTTTATTGATTCTTCGTATTGTTCCCTTTGTTTCTATTTTATTGATTTTATCCTTGAATTTGATTATTTCTTGCAGTCTATCTCTTTTGGGTGTGTTTGCTTCTTTTTATCCTAGAGCTTTCAGGTGTGCTGTTAAGTTGCTAGTATGATATCTTTCCAATTTCTATATAAAGGCATTTGGTGCTGAGCACTGCTTTCAATGTGTCCTATAAATTTGGGTATGTTGTGCCTTCCTTTTGATTGAATTCTAGAAAGTCTTTAATTTCCTATTTCTGCCTTGCCCCAGTAGTTCAGTAAGGAAACTTCAGCTGGTGATCTGTTGCAGTGCTAGACTGTGGTACTACTGGGTCTGGGGGAACAGAGAGAGAAGAAGGCCTGTGGACAGGCTATCTGGTTTTCTGGCAGGAGCGGCCTGTGGTTGAGTAGGAGATTCTTACTTGAGTTTGGGTCTGGGATGCAGTGATTAGTGGAAAGAGGGTGGTTAGGGTTTGTAGGATCCACAGCAGTGAGGGGGGAGGCTGCATCTGGTGATGTGTTGCAGCTTTAGGGATGAGACTAAAGGGTTGGGTCTGGGGGGAACAACACCTTGCATTCCTTTTGTCTGTTTAACTTAGAAAGTTAGTGTCATTACAAATGATGAGCGGCTGAATTTTTACTCAGGCTCAACACTGTTCATCCCGTTACCTGACTTTGCTAGCCTATGAACTCCTTGCCTGTTGGCATCCTTCTCATGAAGGATACGACTTAGGGAAAATCCCTTCCACACTTAGTGTTCATGCTGTCTTAGTATCTTTTTCTGTTTCTGTGATAAAATAATATGACAGAAGCTACTTAAAATAGGAAGGGTTTGTCTGGCTCACAGTTTCTTACAATCCATCATGGAAGGGAAGTTACAGGAGTAGGGCTTGAGAGACCAAGTTATATCTCCTCCACAGTCAATAGTAGAGAGCAATGGATGAATGGTCAGTTCCTCCTTATCAACTTAAACAGTCCAAGATCCAGCCTAGGGAATGTGTTCAGCATGTTTAGGCTGGTTGTTCTCCTCAGAAGTAAGGTAACCGAGATAGCACCCTACAGAAGTGCTCAGAGACCCCCCTCCCAGGTAACCCTAGGTTCTGTCAAGCAGTTAACAACAACTGTCATAAACACTTGTAGTTTTCACTGAGGCCTTGCTATTTACTGAATTAGACTTATGTCCTCCTATTTTTTTTCTCCCCTGATTCTTACAGTCCTGCAGTGGGAGAAGACAAAAATTTACAGGAAAAGAATACATATAGTTGAATAGAAAAAGATGTTAAACTGCGTATTAGAATCCATTTACTTTATGGGTTATGAGGTGACATAGAAAAGGCACTTATAGGACAAACATTCTGTAATTTCAATTTCTCCACTGAAAGGACAGAGAGACCAATTTCTTTTCACACATTACATAGGGTATGATTGACACATTTCATGTGATCATATTAGTTAATAGGGAATTGATATAATAAAGGGAAGGGCTTGCATTCATTTCATGATAGATACTGTCCAAGTTACAGTATTCCTTAATGAAATAAAATATGAACATTGTGAGTTTGAAGCCAACCTGGGCTATATGCTGAATTCTATAGAAGTCTTTTTTAAAACTTTTTTTTTTAATGTAGTTAGTTATTCACTTTACAGCCAAGGACCAACATGGACTGGACCTAGATTCTGTACACATATATACCCAGTGGACAGCTTAGCCTTCATGTGGGTCCCCCAGAAAGGGATGGGGGCTGTCTCTGACATGAACTCTGTTGCCTGCCTTTCACTCTGGTGTGGCTGCTTTGCCAGAACACTGGGAAAAAGGAATTACACCATCCTGATGAGCCTGGATGTGCTAAGGCAGGTTTGCACAGGGGGATAAGTGTCTCCTCTTTGCTGAGAAGCAAGGAAGGGACCATAAAGAAAGGAGGGGGCTACAATTGAGATCTATGGAAGTCTTAGCTACATAGCAAGACACAAATTATTGAGCACCTGCTACTGTTGCAGAGGAACTGGGCTCTATTTCTGCACCCTCATGGTGGTTCAAAACTACTGGTAAGTCCAGTTCAAGGGAATGGAATCTGATACCTTCTTCTGACCTCTGTGGGCACCAGGCATGCACACAGAGCACACACATACATGTAGGACAAACATTCATGTACATAAACAAATCGTTAAAAAACAATTAAGGATAAATACATAGCTTAACAAAATGTTATTGCAATATTCCTTATGCTTGGATAAGAAAAAATTTATATTGCTGAAAATAATAAAAATGACTTGAACTACCATACAGAGAAGCTGGTAGACCTTTGAGTATCTGGATACCACTTCTGTCTGTTCTCCTGTTTGTTAAAAAAATGAACAGTGTGTAATAAAAGTAGCTCTTTTGACTAATTTGATAAAAAGCTGAGGTTGTATTTTGCATCTTAGGATTGACTTTGGTTTGTTTCTACTAACTGGTCTTTGGAGATTGATACTAAATTTCCCATAGGAATTCTGTGAATTGCACACAAAAAATTGGAAACATGACTAGAATTATAGTCAGAGTTTAAGGTATCTATGATTTATTTTTTAGGTTCCCAGAGAAGAGCAAAATGATTCCACTATTTCTCAAGTAAAAGCAGAATCTATAAAAGCACCAAAAGACATAACCAACATCCAGGACCAAAAACTTCTTTCACCTAAGAAAATTCAACAAGATCAGACACCTCCCTCACTTAAGACAATTACATTCACCTTAGATGTGAACCTCAGGAAAAACAGAAACATGAAACACACACTCACACATAACGAGACAAGTAGCTTGTACACAGCACTTAAAACTCTCACTGCTGTCGAAGAAGAGATAGACAGTCAACAGGGCAAAGAAATGCTGGTGCGTGGCATCGAAGGAATCGAAGGCTACATCAACCTTGGCATGCCCCTCTGCTGTTTTCCAGAAGGCAGCCATGTGAGTATTACATTTTCTCAGTGTAAAAGGGAGCCAGAAGAACATAAACAATTGTTGGAACCACAGGACCAAGCATCTACCAATTATGTCCTATTTTACATTCATGCAATTGGCAGTAAGAAGAAAACGATTCTGAAGTGTGGAGAACTTCACAGAAGTGGGAACAAACTCTGTGTGTTTGGTGTCAAAGGAGAGACCATCAAGGACACTCTGAGGAAGGATGGCAGGTTTTGTTCTTTTATAGAGAGTGACCATTGGAAACTCATTAATAAGCTGGACACCATCATAGAAAACACCCAGCCAGTTGATGAGTTAGAGGGCAAGCTCTTTCAGATTCACACCGAGCTAAGAAAGAAACCTAGGGCAACATCTGTCACTCAGGATTCTCAGTCAGAAAAGAAAAACTTCCATGAGCTAAAAGACTACATTGTGGATGAGTACCCCACACTGAAAACAGAACGAGAAAAACTCAGAGCATACATCAAGGAAGAAGGTAAAAAAAGAAAGAAGAAACTTTACACAGTGCATAAAAAGAACTTTGGGAAACTGACAAAAAATTCTACATCTGTTAAAGTGCTCAAGCATCTTTCAAAGGCCAGTGACTCAGTCGGGTTCCTATGGTGGAACAATAATGGAAATGAGGGTTGTGCTACCTGCTTTGTTTTTCAAGGACTGTACATTTTCACTTGCCGACATGTCATAACTGACATCGTGGGGAAAGCAGAGCAAAGTGAGTGGGCTAGTATAATTAGTCAATGTGTAAAGGTGACCTTTGGTTATGAAGAGTTCCCACTAACAGATGCCATCATTTTTGATGTTAAACCTTGGTTTGAGATATCTGATACAGACCTTGACTACGCTGTCCTGGAACTGAAGGAAAACGGACACCAAGTACCCGCTGGACTGTACAACGGAATAGGACCTGTGCCAGTTAATGGGTTGATTTATATCATTGGCCACCCGGATGGAGAAAAGAAGTCTACTGATGGTTGCACAGTGGTCCCTCAAGATAATCGAGAAAGAAGATGTGAGGAAAATTTTCAAGCAAGAGAGGCAGCAGGCTGCCATTTTTCTATATCTTTTGTCCGTATGTACACCCAAAGAAGTTTCCAGGAAATGCTTCACGACACTAATGTGGTTACCTATGACACCACTTTTTTTGGAGGGTCTTCTGGATCACCAGTGTTTGATTCTAATGGTTCATTGGTGGCCATGCACGCTGCTGGTTTCACTTGTACGTACCAAGGTGGAATTTCTAGTATCATTGAGTTTGGTCCTACTATGGAATCTATTCTTGCTGATATTAAGGAAAACAATGAACCCTGCTATAATAAAATTTTTGGAAATCAGCAGGATGTAGAAATGTGGAGCCCAGAGACCTCAGTACAGGAAAAGATTTAATCCATTATCCAAGTTTAAGGGAATTGCCTGTGGTGTTTTTATTCTGCAGACAATAATGTTTTATGAACTTTCAAAAATGATTTGTTTCACAAAAATGGATGTTCCAGATTATTTCCTGTGTAAAGCAACATGGGAAAGAAGATTCAGTACTGGTTAGGCCTCAGGGCACTTGGTGCCAAGAGAGGCAAAGATATGAAGAAGCTCAGAGCTTAGAAACTGGAGTTGTGGACCAAAGATATGAAGGAAGAGAAGCCGATTTCTGGAAACTCGAAGCACTTTTAAAAGCACTGCTTTCTTTGGGCCTGCCTGTATCTTCTCTCTCTGCTGACCAGAGCTCAGCTAGGACGCCAGGTCACAGGTTTATGAGCCCTAAGTGGTCCCTGAAATTATTTGCCTTTCTTCAGCTTTGGCTTTCTGGCTGAAGACTTGGGTCTGGAATGAACCTTCAAGGAATGGTGTGGAAATCATTGAGCAGGCAAGGGAGCTGCCATATAGCGTGGGCATCTGGGAGTTCCTGGACTTGGGTTATGGAGAGCAAACACCGGAAGAGATGGTTTCCACTTCATGGGATTCACCATGGAGTGGGTCAGGAGGACACTGGACATAGCCTAGAACACTTCTCAGCAGTGTGACACTCAAGTCCTGTTCTTAGGGAGAGGAAGGAAACTGTGGTCAGGAAGTAATCTCACAACCATGAAAACCAAGGAGAATTTGTGTACGGAAGATGGCCAGAAGTCTTTTATCTGAGGGAAAGGGGAAGGAGTGGGTGAGATGGTGTGGGAAGGTTGCTAAGAGATCTGGCAATTACATCAATTCTTCCCTCTACCAGAACTGAAGTATGTCCTGGGCTTTTTGCTGCAGCTGAACATGATCCTAATCCACAGTTTCCCTTATTGTCCAGACATCTCCTAGTGCCATTGTGTGATGTTTTGTTTTCCCTGCTCTGTGCATTTTTCCCAGAGGAAATACAAATGGAACAAAATTAAAAAAACAAAAACAGTATGATATCTGCAGAGAGTTATGGAATTTAAGATGAAACAAAAGTAAAGCTTATTTTTATGGCATTTCCTTTGGTTTGTTCCAAATCCACATTCTCAATGTTATAAAGTAATAAAGGTTGTTTTAACCTTTTATCTTTAGTTATGCATTATGTTTATTTATTTATTTGTTATAGTAACTCTTACAAGCTCAAAGAGCCTCAATATTTTCTGAATCTGTTGGGAGGGGGTTGTCCCTGAAGATATCATGACCAATGGGGAAATGACCTGGAAAGCTGTCAGAATGAAACCCTGCTACAGCTGGACTTGGTCAGGTCAATGGGATAAAAATTTCTAGGGAGTCTCATCCTGTGGCTTAATTTTCCTCCATGTCCAAACACAGTAGAATTTTGGGAAAATAGTCTCCATATGAAAATTCTTGTAACAAAGCTTCAGAGATGGCTGCAGCTAAATTCCCTTGCAAAATACCCCATCATTGAAAAATATCTGAGACCTTTAAGAATGGGTTATATTGGCTGGGAAACAGTGCTTAAGGCTAAGACCTGCAAAGGAAGAATATTTAATAAGTGTATAGATGGTTCCTACCAGGATGCAAAGTACATGGGGCCTTTTTCATAAAGATGAGAGATAAAGCCCTTGATTAGGCTCTACACAATTCTTAGGTTTGGGAGGACATTCAGGTGGAGGCTGGCTTCTAATTGAGTAGCAAAGCTCACCAGGTTGTTTCATCCTCTGGAATCAGAATTATAATTGGAAGGTTGTGAGTTGCCATGGCAGGGCTAGGAATTGAATCCCAGGGACTCAGCAATTTTCTAAGTTTACGCTATGCTGCCCGCTGTTGTATCTTCCTCTCAAAAGTTACTTTGCTTACCTGCTGTACCATTTTCAAAGAGCCCATTGCAAGACATATGAAATCAAGCTTTGAGCACTCAAAGGGAGGCACCCGACCTCTTTGACAGCATATGAGGACTACAGCTGAGATTTCCCTGCTTTACTGTAACCCATCTACCTAATGTTTCCTCCAACGCATTTGAAAAGCACCTGGATCCATAGCTCCCTCTGTTCTGTTAATATCAATACCTCATCAAACTGTTACACAGAACGTGGAATTTGAGGCAACCTAAAATCTGTGTCCCCACAACCCAGTTCTGCATATTTGGTTTCAGAATAAATTATCATTTACCCCCTTTGAGGGAAACTTGTGGTTTTGCACACGCACAGACTTCAGGGCATGACTATGATGATTTTCTAGATTAATTTTGGTGGGAAGACCTGCCCTAAATGTGGGCGGCACCTTCCCATGTGCTGGGATCCTGACCCAAGGAAAAGAAATAATCTGGCTGGGCATCCATAATCATCTGTCTCCTGACTGCAGATGGAATGGGACCAGCTTCCTCACATTCACTTTCTCTGGCATGTAGTCTCCATCATGATGGGCCATGGCCTCAAACTATGAGGCAAAATAAGCCCTTCTTTCCTGAAGTTGCTTTTGTCAGGCGCTGTTGTCACAGCAGTAGACAAGTGACTAATACACAGACATACCCGAAGAAAACAGTAGTTGATTTTTACATTTTTCTTCATATTAAATAGGATCTTCTGTGATCTGTACTTCTTATAGCTCGTGGTGACTTAGAGATGAAACAGATGGCTATGCTAAAACACAAACTTCAAAATGGCTCAAGTTATGACAGTATCTTCACAAGTGTCCCAGTTTGCACAGAAGAAAGGATGAACTGGGGTCCCATTAGCCCACCTTCCCGTTTCAGCTCCAGCCTTTCTGGTGCCAGGATGCTCTGAATAAGCAGATAGTTTTCTATCAAGCATAATCGCCTCAACAATAAAGGCAGAGTATTATGAAAAGACACTCAAAACACACACACAAAGAAATTATATCTACCCCTGTGACTGCTGTGGAAAGCAGGTTCTATCCAGTTTTGCTTCTAGGGAAAGGGCATCTTGGACCAAGGACATGATGTGATCAAGCTTAGAGTTTGAAGTAGAGGTAGAATTCAAATGCAGATATCAACATCCCACAAACGAATCTGCATTTGGGGATTCGAAATTGTGTCTTTCTCACACTGATAATTAAGATCTTGCCCTCCTTTGAGGTGGAGGTTTTAAGGGGTGGTGAATTTACACGGAAATTTGTGATAAAATAACCGGGTAGTATCTTGAAAACAAAAGGAATTTCTGAAGAATGATCCAAAAGAAAAATGGAAAGATTATCCCAAATGAGCCATCTCTCCATCCCTGTTTCCTTTCAAACAGCCCCTCTTCTGCCTCCATTCCTGGTCTGAAGATTGTCAGCCATCATGTCCTGTGTCTAAAGACTGTGGCTTAGCCTGATTGAAAGAACCTAATACCTTGAATAGGGCAGAGTTTTTATGGCAAAGGAGATTGTAAGTCTGCTCAAAAGAAACATCCTCCTGTCCTGTTTAAATTATATATACACATACATGTATTATGTATGTATATAATGTATATGTAATATATAATTTGCACATATAATATGTATAAAATATAAAATATTTACATATGCATACATATACATATATGTATATCTTCATATATATGTGTATGAATGAATATATTATGTATATATGTATAGACAAGTATATATTAATATATTATATATTACTCATAGAGCATTACAATATATTATATACATATCACACACACATAATATACATACATACACTGGAAATTTAGAAAATTAGTGATGAAGAAAAGTAAATCAAAGTTTATCCCAGGTAAAAGAGACTCAGCCGAAAGAACCAGGGGCTGGAAATCTCTAGGATGGTGAAAGCAGAGGGTCCAGGAGACAACATTGGAATTACTGAGGTTAAGAAGACACGCTCTCAGGTGCAATTCAGGACTCATCACCACAACAGTGTCTTTGCAGGATCAGAGCAAACAGTGGGCTGAGGTCTGCTGCAGGTCTGGCTCTCCCCAGCAGGTCGTGAGCACTGACTCTGGAGGTAAACCAACTGTTGCAAGCAAGAAGGCAATAATCTGCAGTTGGTATAACAAAAGTTATATCTTATTATGCCGATGGGCATCACACAAGGTTTGCACTCTAGTTCCTAACCTCGGCCCTAAGCCTATCTCCCCAGTGCTGCTCACTGAGGCACTGCATCTTAGCTGAAGGTCAGGTCCGATCTCTAATTACAGTCTTCTTTTCAAGGCTCAGGACCACGGAGGAGACTCTTCAGCTGCAGGGTAGACCAGGACGGCATCTCTCCACTATCTCTAGCAGTCCTGAAGATGTGTAACGTTGCTCTCAGTCTTTGCTTATGTACCGTGCAGTGTGCCTCATGCAGTTCTGGCAGTGTGTCTGGAAGTGTGTGAGGAAGTGATGCCACTGGGCTCTGGTTGTCAGGAGCAGCCTCGGTGCAGTGCAGTTCCTGACTAAGCTATTTTCTGGTATAAAAGGCTTATTATTATTATTTTAACTAGGCTCATCATGCCAATACTGTGATTTCCACATACTAGCTCTCCTCTGGTCACTTCTGTTAGAAGATGGAGAAAGATGGACTGCCCTCTATTTCTATCTGTCCAAGACCACGAAAGTTTGCTTTCTGTAGGGGTTCCTGCAAGCTCTACTGCTGGTGGGAAAACAAACAGGAGAGGCAAGAAGGAAACCCAGGTTAGCACATCTTCCTTAGCCAGTCTGTTTCCGACTTCTGGAGTCTGACCCCAAGGAGTTTATTTTTTACATATGTAAACATAGTGCAACTTTGGAAGAACATTCCCTTGTGACAATGATCAAAACAAAGCTTAAGGCATGGTGACATCAGAACTCCTTCTCAAAGTACACATCTTTTGCAAAGTGTCTGTGACCTCTTCCACAGAATGGGTTCTATTGACTGAGAAGTAATGGGTTTAGGGAAGAAAGGTTTGTAACAAGCAGAATAGTAAAGTCCTTTTCCAAAAGTACATGGGACCTCTTTCATAAGTATGAGCTGCACTGAATGAGAAACAATGCTCAGGATAAGCAAGATTCACTGGAGTACCAGCCAGTTGCAGCCTCATGATGATGTCAGTGCTGGTCAATGAATTCCAGTTCTCCTTAAGAGCAGCACATTCACTTAGAAGCCGACCTACCTTTCCAGCCACTTACTATAGTTTTTCTGAGAGAGTTTTTTTTTTCTTTTTCTATAGAGTTTTTTCACTCTATAGCTGAGACCACCATGGGATGAAATATGTAGCCCAGGTTAGCCTCAAACTCATGATTTTCATGTCTCTTTTCCTGTGTGCTGTTATTCCAGGAATACACCACCACATCCATCTTTAATAAATTCATTAAATTTTTTAAGAGGGTTATGTTAGTGTGATTTAATTTTTATTTCAGATTTTAATTTCTTTTCACATGTATGGTGTGTGTGTGTGTGTGTGTGTGTGTGTGTGTGTGTGTGTGTCTGTGCTTATTCATCTGTGTGGCACATATGTTTGCCCAGCATTGTGAGGGTAAGACGCTGAACTTGGGTGTCTTCTACGATAACTCTACCCTGGATTAAAGATGGGCCACCATGCCCATACAACAATTATGTAAACTAAAAACACTTTTAAAAGGACCATTACAGGGTAAATGATATAATTATATTATAATCTCAAAAACAATTTTTTTTAAATTTTCAGGAAAACAAACAAATAAATGATCAAGACACTTGAGCTCCTTGCTTGCTGGAGCCTTCCCCAGCCCTGTGGAGTGTATCCCTGGCTTTCACTCTCACTATTAATACTATAAATGTATATGTTTACTACTTCTGCTCCTGTGTCTTGTTTAATTCTTTTCTTGAGACATAAAGAGCCTGGAAGCTCATCGCAAGACACAGGGAGACAACAGCTTGGTACCAAGGGTGGCGCTATCTAGAGGAAGTGAACTGTGCCTTTGGGAGGTCAGAGCTTGGGAGCCATGCTTAGGCCTTTGCAGATGTTCCCTCGGGAAGGGAAGTATTGTGGGAGCCGGAACTGTGATGTGAATGATTTTTGCTACATCGTGCACTCCTGCCCTGAGGGGAGCTGCTGGCTCTTGAATTGGAACCTCAGAAACCATGAGCTAAAATAAGCTTTTTGTTTTTGTAAG